CGGATTAAAGTATATTATTTTTGTAATTTTTTGTGTTGTTTTAGTTTAGCCCGTTAGTTCTTCTTTACGTTTCATTCTCTTTATTTACCTTAGTATTATGATTATGATTATGATTTTCACCTTACCAAGCTTTACTGATAAGCACGACATCTCTACTTTTCTAGGATGCTGTGAGTTCGCTTTGTTGCATAAACAATTTTTGTAATTCGCTTGCCTTTAATTTCAGAATGCCTTATTTCGTCTATTGTAATATTTCTTTACGATATACATTCTTGCCCAGTTAAAGTTCAATTGTTTCATATTTTAGCAGATATCTCAACTTTCTTCAAGTGCTCTTGCCCTAAATGATTGACTTATCTCCAATTTTTTATTTAGCTTGGTTGTGTTGAATTTGTTTGTTATTAAAATTTTTCACGTTTTAGCAGTTATAATGCACGTTATATAATGAACATATATTGTTTGTAGAGTAATACAGAATTATTTTTGTGTAAACTTGATACATGGAAATTATTGGTGGCATCATTTTGTTTCAATCTGGATTCACAACCGTTATGTTTTGTGAACCATTATAAGCATATTTTATTGTATGCACTAAAACTGTTTTAAGCTTTTTTGGTGAGTCCGTCTAAGTCGGCGCAACATTATTTCAAGTGATACTTCTCTTATAATGAGAGATTCTGAAAAGTTTGTGTTTTAATCGAAAATATTTACTTAAGCAGTGGGACAGATCTTTGTGATGCTGTCAATGGTGGAGTTTACACTTTACTCAGAATTTCATTACTGGTAAAGTATTGAAATACTATTTTATCAAAGTGGTATTGTTGATGAAAGAGAAAAGGATTTGGGGACGTAATCTACTCATTTTAACAATTTGATTTACACGTGCAATACCTTTGGTACTTAAGCGGAAACTGTCCGATTCATACATGCATTGATTCTTTTACTACAGCCCGTAAAATTTCGGGTGCTCTTAACTGCAGAATAGTTATTAATAAAAATTATATTTCTGAAATGTCAGTGGGTTTCTTTAATGCACTGCAGTTAACACCTTAGGACACGTTCTTCTTTCAGCCAGGTTATGATTTTACAATAATTATCGTTTGCATTATTGTGTTTGCAATTTACTGTATAAAGAGTCGCGTTGTCTTTCCAAATTTCTGCTCATATTTTCAAATCGATTGATATAGTCAACAAAAAAACTACGGTAATGTTACCAAAATTACAATTAATTTACTGCTGTAACAGCAGTCTGGAATATCAGCATGTTTCCACGCTCGAGGTAAAAAGTGGGTGTATTCAAGAGATGATAAGTTTTGAGACTTTTATGTCGGTCGAGTTGGTAGATGTAGCTTTGTCTGAGGCCGTGTCGTAAACTCTGTGTAAATAACAATATTAGTAAAATAGAAATTTGAGAATAATAGACAACAACCATGCGTGAGCAAATAGTTTAACGAAATATAACGGATCTGAAGAAAAAAGATAGCATGTATATGACTAGAAAGTGTTTTACGTGAGTTGAAAGTGTTTCACGTGACGTGGCTATTATACTCTCTAAACTACTCAAAACTCAATGCGATAGGTAGTTTTTGTAAAGACAATTATCGTGCATTATCATTTTGGGTGTTGAAGAAAGAATTTATTTTAATTTTATAGTTTCTTCTTAAATCGTTCTTAGTGTTCTGGAATAGAATTGAAGATTGCTAGTTCATTCATCAAGATGAAAATGATCTGTACATTTGTTGTGAATTATGTCAATATTATCCAATTTCGACTTATTTCTTAAAAACTGTCTCTTTTATTTAATTCATTATGTAAGGAACCACGCTAATTATTGATTAATAAGGTAGTAATTTCAGGGGATATTTCATTTAGAAATACTAGTGGTGACTGATCTTGTTAGTTTCTGACAGTAATTGGGCACATTTATGCCTTTGTAATGCGTTCCTTTGATTTGCTACATAATTTTGAGCTCTAAGTTAATGTTTATAATCAGATAAGCTACTTTTTCGTTATTTAACATCTTTTTGTTCATTATTTACTTTGAATATCATCCATTTCTGTGTGGAATGTGTTTATCAGTAGAGTTTATTTTTGATAAAAAAAAGATCGTTCTGCAGCTGTTTCGAGTAATACAGGAAAGGATTGAAAATTGTAACTATGTTGGCAATGATAAATCGTGTTCTGGACTGGATTCGAAGTCTATTCTGGAAAGAAGAGATGGAGTTGACTCTTGTTGGTTTGCAGAATTCTGGAAAAACTACATTTCTCAATGTCATTGCGGTATTATCTTAACGAACTTTTTCGTGGTTTATTTAGCTTGTTGAATTAGAGAGGATTTTGGAAAAATTTATTTCGAATTAAGCTAGAATCATCACTTTTAATCAAATATATGGTTCAGAGAATTTAGAGTGGGAAATTTACCGAAGATATGATTCCGACAGTTGGATTCAACATGCGCAAAATCACAAAAGGGAATGTAACTATCAAGGTGGGATCTTTCTCTTCTAAAGATTATTGTAATGAATAACGATGGCTGTTTTAAATGCTTTTAACTGCGCAGTTTGTGGTGTGAAATATTGTAAGCTCCATATTCTAAGATAGTTTGAGCTGGAAAGCTACCAAGCAATTTCATAATATATGTGACTGATCACTTCTTGCTTCATTTATTATTAGCAGGGTTTAGATTTCTCCATCAGAACAGTCTCAGCAGTCCTGCAATTGAAATATATCACTAGCTGGGTATTTCAAATCGTTATCATTGTTTAGCCATTTAATAATACATTTTTGTATTTTTTCGCATTTACTTGATATTAAATATTTACAGTTATGGGATATTGGTGGGCAGCCACGATTTCGTTCCATGTGGGAAAGGTATTGTCGAGGTGTCAATGCAATAATTTTCATGGTAGATGCTGCTGATGAAGATAAATTGGAAGCATCTAGGATGGAACTAATCCAACTTCTAGATAAGCCGCAACTTGATTCTATTCCAGTACTTGTGCTAGCCAACAAAAAAGATCTTCCTGGAGCTCTTGACGAACGTCAACTTATTGAAAGGATGTAAGTTGCAACTACAGTAGAATCACAAAATAATTTTCTCTTTTGAGTAAATAGGTGTTTCTGTAGAGCCTCCTTTTAACGACTTGAATTAGTTAATAGTAAATGTATTATTTGCAGGAATCTGTCAGCGATTCAGAACCGAGAAATATGCTGCTATTCGATATCATGCAAAGAGAAAGATAACATAGGTTTCTAGCTTTTATTAATCAAATACATCATATTTCATGGTTTCTAGCTTTTATTAATCAAATACATCATATTTCATCTGTAAAAATTGCTGGTTTCGGTTCTGTTTCTTAAATCTTATTTTGAGAAATCAAAAACTTTGTTGGCAATATAAAAAATGCGGCAGTACTCAGGTGACCCTAACTTTATTTTTTACTGTACGGGAATATTTTTTTTTCCTTTCCAGACATAACATTACAGTGGTTGATTCAGCATTCGAAAGGGAGAAGTGATGCCTGAATTTCGCGTCCATGACAAAATCAATCTTTCACTAAAAATTTTTTTTTGTGAACTTATCTTTGTCCTCTTTCTTTTCTTTTTGCGCCACACATATTTGCTTTTATGGGCATGTTGAATTCAAAGCTGATGACTGCTTTCGAATAATGGTTTGAAATTACCTGATGACATTAACATTCGTTAAAAATTATAGTCACACTCTTTTAAATTGTTTAATTTATTTGCAAACATGCTAAAGAGAGTAGGTTTGTTTCCGATATTCACTGCACAATTTTCAATGGGATTTTTGAGAAAAAAAGTCTGTCGAGGGTTATTTTTAAAAAATGGTGATTTTTCCTTAACATTTTTGTTTAAATTGTATCTAACTTTAATGTCTTATCATGTGTTAGTGTTAATTCCATTATCACAGAGTTCAAAATTCACGGTACAACTGGTTGGTATTGATTGTTATCACTATATATCGTTTGCTTCTATAATAGTGAAGTAAAAACAAATTTGGATGCTGCGAGTGCTTTTAGTCACCTCTCGCTTCATTTCATTTCTCCTTTATTGGTTGATTCATGATTATTCAATACCTAAAAGAAAGCAAAACCAAGCTTTGAAGTAATCGTGCAGTAATTATATCATATTTAGGGTTTGTTACTGACGCTACTGTGATACTTTATTTAGGGTACTGGGTATTATTTGTGAATCTCAGACTTTTCGACTTCTTTTGTTTGCTATTCTTTGAGTAATAGCGCTCCATACATGCCTCTGACTTATCATTTGTCATTTTTATATGTATTATATAATTAGTAGTTCGTAGTTATTGTATTTCACGGTCTAGTCAGTTTTACTCAATGTGTAGACTGTTTCATGGTTGTTGAAGTATAGCTGTGTCATATAACATGTTGCAGTCTTGGTAGTTGTTTTAAAAGTGCTGATAAAAGTATCTAATAGTTCTGTTTGGACTACGGATCTATGAGAAATCACTTTATCAAAGTTTCTTTCCCAAAGCATGAATAGTAGTACTCCAACACTTTTTTTCGTCCTTAACTTCATATTCTGGGTAGTTTCATTTGTAGTCTCGTGATATGCAGTGGCCGAAGTTCAATTTGACATGTGGATCGTTCTATTTTTAAGCTTCTTGGTAGTTTCATTAGTCTTATGATGTACAGTTGGCCGAAGTTTAATTTGACATGTGGGTCGTTTTATTTTTGATGATAAGCAAGCGAAAAGGATGCGTGAAAAAAAAGACAAATGTGCGGTCACAGTAGGTAAGTTTTTAATTGAAAATGAAGGGAATTGGTTTTTTCCATTTCCATTGATAGATCTATTTGCGGGACATATGTATGAATAGTGGCTATGCGATAAACTAGGTTTAATTACTGGACTTACATATGTAGTCATTTGCATTCATGCAACTGCTAGAGAATCTGTGTATCCTGTTTGTACTTTCAGAACCATTCGTTTTAGTTCAGTATTCTACTCCGTATCTTCCCTGATTCTTGCGCCATCACTTCACGAAATTTTTACGTTTAGAAACTGTACAAGACTTAATAATGACAGCGATAAACTAGGTTTAATTTTTTATTCGTCTGAGTATCATCAGAAACTAATTACCATCTTGGTTGCAAACTAATAATCTGTTTATTGGATCTTAACTCTTTATAATACAGATGCCTGATTTTGCAGCTTCCATTAGATGGTAATAATTTCAACTCGGCTCATTTTCAAATGTTAAATTCCATTTCAGACCAGCTGCCATCCATATAGCAATATTGCATTAGCGAAGTATCATCTGTTTGCCATTCCGAATTTGTAATTCATAGCGTTCATTTCCAGCATGGCCAATATTGCCATAGCTTTAGTATGTACGAATGAATGAGCTATCTCTCATACATCATCCCATAGTGTGAGTAGAAATTCTTTTACGAAGAAATTGGTAGTATGTGAGCCGTCATCATTTTGTAGTGCCCAGTCTAAAAGGTATGGAATAGAACTGTAGTTTACAGTGAGCCGTCATCATTTTGTAGTGCCCAGTCTAAAAGGTATGGAAATGTTCTGAAGTAGAACTGTAGTTTAATGTATGAACGTGTGGATATTTTAGCAGTCACGCACCTAGTTCTTGTTGTGTTACACGGAATAGAATAATTTATGCATACACATAAATACTCATAAAACAATATTTACAACTGTCAGAAATGATCATGTTAGCTTTTGCTTCTTATCTGTACACGGTTG